CTTCTGACCCTGCCCACAGCCCCAGTGTCGGGGAGGGGAGGGGAGGAGGAGGCTGGATTGGCAGTAGAAGAAAGAGGGGATAATTGGCGGGCAGGCATCCAGCAGGGTGGGTGGGACCTCATAACAACAATAATAACAATAATTTGTCTGGGGCTTAATAGCCCTGCCAGATCCACGTGCTAATTGGACTGCTGGAGGGCCCGACTGGGGTGGGCGCAGGAGATGCCCTCCCCTCCTTCCTTTGGAGGTGGAGGTCAGAGCAGGGTGAACACCTGCACGGAGAGGGCCCTGAAGGGAGTGGCAGGACAGGCAGGGATGGCTGGGGTAGGCTCTGATTCAGGCTGCTGCCTCTTGCTTCGGGGTTCCCTGAATTGCCTTCAGTGCTCTTCTTTTCTAGTGTGTGGTGCTGGGGATCAGACCAGGTCCTCATGCCTGGGGTTTTCTTGAGAGCAGGTGAGGGACCTTCTCCAGGGAATTGCCCTGGGCCCTGAAAGTGGAGTCAGGAGCTGCCCGAGGTCCCCAGCTCCTCATCTTTGACCCTGCAGATGAAGCCCCACTCCCCACACCGTGAGGTCCTAGGGGTGGGCCCCAGAGCCCAGAGGTTTAGGGAGGAGGGCCAGCACCCAGGTGAGGGTGTCAGGGAAGGTGAATGGAGAGGAGGAGGACTGCGTGGCATTTCAGCTACCCTTAGGCTGTTTGCCAGTCTTGCTGATTACTTCCTACACAGTGGTACCAGTCGTCTGCTGTTCCTTGTCCCCATCCTACGGAGGATGCTGTTGAGGCCTGAAGAAGCAGAGCCTTGCTCAAGGTCAAAGAGCAGTGCTGCCGAGGGACTAGAGAGGGCGTCTGCGCTCAGCTTGTTTATGCACATCTGCCTCCCAGGGATGCTGTCCTGCCCCAGACCGCAGCTGCTCTCAGCAGCCACCGACTGGGAGAAGTCAGGGGCAAGCAGCACCTAAGCCTTGGTAAAGACCCCCGCCCCTGCAGCTGACCGCCAGATGCCTGTGCTCCAGCTCAGTGCCCATGCGCTCCTTCTGCCGCGCCCGCTGCAGGGCCCCGGTGCACAGTGGCGATTCGGGCTGTGCAGAGTAGCGGGAGGAAGGCCTCCCTCCTGCCCAGGCTGCTCTGGGTCTGCCGGGTTATTATGTGGTCTGTCACCTGTGAGCCCACCCACCAGCCCTCATTTATGAACCTTGGATCCACAGACAGAATCATCAAGAATTTGGGGTCAGCAGCCACATAACACTGAGGGCAAGCTGGGGCCTCCCTCCTGCCTGCCCTGTTCCTGTCTCTTCCCTCCTCCTGTCCTCAGTCTCCCCCGGGTTCCTCTTTGCTGGGCCTTGAGAGCTTCCCTCCGGTCCTGTAGCCCCATCGTTCACATCAGGAGTCAGTGAACTTCTGTAAGGGGCCACTTCTCAAGTATTTTAGGGTTTGTGGACCAGGAGGCAAGTCGCCTCTGTCATTCATGTAGGTAATTAGATAAGTCTTAAAATGTGACGATGACCATTGGCAGGTGGGAGGAGTTTGTTGACCTCAGACTCCTGCAGAGAGCTTAGGGTCAACCCCTCCACCTCTCAGCCGCCAGCTCTCTTCCTGGCCCTGATGCCTGTGGCCTCACTGCCCTGGGCTGCCCCTCCCTGCAGAAGCTGGGCCTGAGACTGGGGCCAGGGAGGGCTCTGAGCTGGGAAGTCCCTGTGCCTCTTGAGCTTAGGCTTTCGTCTCAGGGAAACATTATCGCACTTGGCAGAGAAGGCTCAAACAGCAAAGGCCATGAGGCCTGGCCCTCCCCTGGCCCTGGCGGCCCCTGGCAGCAGCCTCCCGTCTCTCCGGTTCTCTTCCCATGTGGTGTTGTCGTCAGTGGGCGGGGCGCTCTTCTAGAGTTCACTTTTTACTAGAGGTTTGTGCGCACTGAGACGCTCTTCTGCAATGTACAACTTGGTGGTCTCTATCATTCGCGGAGTTGCTTAGGCAGCACCACTGTCTAGTTCCAGAGTGTCTCCTCACCTTCCAGGAGCCCCCACCACTCGGCATTCACTCCTGTTCCTGCCTTGACCTCCAGCAGCCACTGTGTCTTTCCTGGCGCAGACAGCCTGCATGGGGAGTCCCCGCCATGTGTGCCTTGTGCCCTTGCCTTGGCGTTTGGATTGGTCCAACTTTTTGCCCATTGGGAACAACTTGCCATGAACACCACCTGTGGCATTTGTGGCGGACATGAGTGTTTTCTTCTGTTGGGTATGGGCCCAACAGTGGACTTGAGGGTCTGTAGTCAGTGCGTTTGTCACTAGAAGAGTTGCCAGGCTGTTTCCCAAAGCTGGGCACTACTCTTTGTCCCTTGCAGTGTGCCAGACTTTGCCTGATTTAAAAAAAAAAAAAAAAATTTTGGTATTGGGGATTGGTTCCAGTGGTACTCTAGCACTGAGCTACATCCTCAGTCCTTTTTTTAAATTTTATTTTGGGACGGGGTCTTGCTAAGTTGCTGAGCCTGTCCTGAACTTGTGATCCTCCTGCTTCAGCTTCCCGAGTCGCTGAGGTTACAGGTCTGGTCACTGTGCCTGGCTCCTGTGGTGTTTGGAGGTTGATGATGTATTGTGTAGGCTGCAGTTTTGTGTCTTTTTTTGGGGGGGGGGTACCAGGTGTTGAACGCAGGGGCACTCGACCACTGAACCACATACCCACCCTGTTTTATATTTTATTTAGATACAGGGTCTCACAGAGTTGCTTAGTGCCTCACCCGTTGCTGAGGCTGGCTTTGAACTTGCAATCCTCCTGTCTCAGCCTCCAAGGTGCTGGGATTACAGGCGTGCGCCACCACACCGGCCAGTTTTGTGTGTTTGCAGGGGAAGCAGAACTTCCTCTCGTAGGGCCTCTGGGCCTGAGAGGCTGACAGGAGACAGATGACCAGGAGAAAAGCATGTGCCTTAACCTTGCCTGTGTGCTGGAGGCGTCCTGGGACAGTGAGGCCCAAGGCTGGGGACCGCCGGGAGGGTGGCCGCGTGGCTGGGGCTGAGGGAAATCCGAGCTTCAGCGGGGCTTGTTTGTGCAGAAGGCCGAGGCCTTGGCTCCCCTTGTGGTAAGTCGCTCGGCTGCCCCGTACAAGGAGCAGAGCACATTGCATGTGGGAGTTTCTCCCCTGCTTTCAGGCAGAAAGGGAGTCGCCGCTGCCTCTGTGGTTGAGGTCAGCCCTGGCTGGGCGTATCCCGGGCACTTCTGCTGCCCCCCACTCTGCCCTTGTGCCCACCACTTGCCCATTTGATACAGTTCTCACAACTGTCAAAAAGATCAGTCTTTATAGTCTTTTTCTCTTATTAAGTAATTATGGGCTGGGGATGTGGCTCAAGTGGTAGCGCGCTTGCCTGGCATGGATCGACCCGGGTTCAATCCTCAGCACCACATACAAAAACAAAAGATGTTGTGTCTGCCGAAAACTAAAAAATAAAAAAAAAAGAAGTAATTATATTTTACTATTAAATCAGAAAAATAGAGTCAGAAGGAAGTTAGAATCAATCCTCATGTGATGAGCAGGTGGTCCCTGTTGGTGGCACCCTGCTATCATTGGGGCCAGCCCACCCTCTGTGGAGCAGGCCAGTATGATTCGCTGACACTTTCTTCCATTGTTGGGCATGTGTGACCTTGCTGGTTTTCTGGTGCTAAACTCTGCCATGATCTTTTTTTCCCTCATAAAAAGCGTCTGCTGAGGTTTTGGTTTTCCCTTCTGAGTGGCTTCTGGAGAGGTGATCCTCTGGTCAGGGGCCTGTATGCTGTGCAAGCTCCCGGGCTGTTGGTGTCTGTCCCCAGCGTGTTCTTGCTGGAGTTCTGCCTGAGCCGGGTGGGGAGGTCCTGCACGTGGGGTGCGGCAGGCTATGCCTCAGCAGGCTGCTCCCTCAAGTCTTGGTCCACATTCCCGAGAGCACCCCCATGCCTGGCGCTGCAGGGGTGCAGGGTTAGTGCTGCCAGTGGGCAGGGGCGTGCAGACCGACCAGCAAGAGGCGAGGGAGCTAGGGCCTTCCGGAGGAGGGCCGGCAGTGCGAGGCTCTCTGGAGACGGTGTCTCAGAACGCGTTGAGGGGTTTGGGCTGGCTGGGCTGATGGGAAATGGTTGTGCCGCCGAGGCTGCCGCCGAGGCTGCTCCCGAGGCCCGGAGCTGGCTGGCCCTTCTGCTGCCTGCCTGCAAGACCCATGCATGGCTCTTGTCTTGAGGGTCTGGAGTTGTGACAGCTTTGTCTCCTGCAGGTGCTGGGGACTTGAGAGCCAGTCAGAGTGCCTGTACAGGAGGCAGGAGTTCTTTGTGTTTGGAATTCCCTCTTACTGCTCTGTTTTGGCTGTAGAAGCTGGCAGCACTGTGTCAGTTCCCCTCCCCAAATTCTACTGGAACTTTCTTGTTTGTGAAGTCCTAGCATCTGGAAGCTGCCTGCTGGCTCTGCCATTCCTTGATGCCATGTGTCACTGGAGTTCCCTCCACACCTGGATGCCAGTGTTGTCTGGCTGCCGTCTGAGCAGATACCCTCGAGGTCCAGTTACTCTCCTCGAGTGCGCTGGTGGACTGGCGTCAGGAACCTGCCCACGGTGTCTGGCTTGAGGATTTCGTGTGGTTGGGATATAGGAAGGCCTCAGGGCAGGCAGGTGCACTTGCTGCTGTCCAGTCCTCCTGTGCTGGTAGGTGACCTGTCATAGGCACAAGGACCTCTGTGGCTCAGGAGTCCCTCCGTGGCAAGAGTGCTGTATGCATCATCCTGTTTGCACCTGAGGTCCTTCATCTTGCCTATGAGGAAACTGAGGCACAGAGGCAGCACTGTACGCTGTGTCCCAGCTGTAGTGGCGCTGGGCAGGAGGCTGGTGTGGCTGTGGCCTGAGTGGCTGCCCCAGGCCTTCGCTCCACTCCCTGTCAGAGGCGAGTCGTGGGCATTGTCTGCTGGGCTGTTGGTGCAGTGCCTGACCCCAGGGCCTTCAGTTCCATCTGGTGCCCTGTAAACTGTGACCTTCTGTCTCATCCACTTCCTACAGGGACGTAGACATGGAGCTTCGGGAAGAGGCCTGGTCTCCAGGGCCACTGGATTCTGAGGACCAGCAGATGGCCAGTCACGAGAACCCAGGTGAGGTGGCCCTGTAGGTTCCACTAAGCCAGCTCCGCTGCCCTCCCGCCAGGGGGGGAACGCTCTTCCCCCTGCTGTGACTCTGGCACGCCTGGTTCCCCGCCCCTTCCTCTCCTCCCCAGGGCTCTGCATCCTAGCTTGGAGGGGCTCCTGTTGGTGTTTCCAGTTGTCCTTGCAGTGGAACCGTCCTGAGGCCTTGGGGACCACCTCTGTCTGATTTCTTCTCCGGTGCCTCCAGCTTGGGGCAGCACCCTGTCCCTTGCTGAGGGTACCCCTGCTCTTCCACTGGCCTCTGGTTCCAGGTGGCCCTTGCTCCCTGGCAGGCTGCTCCTCAGACCAGGGGTGGCCAACCCAAGTGCAGGGCCTGGAAGGCAGCAGTGACCGGCCTGGAGGGTGGGTGCCTGTGTTTCAGGGGACTTGATGGGTGTCACCATGAAATCTTTGCGTGTTGGCAATGTTTTTTGTTTAATAAAGTATTTGGGTGAATAAAACGCATCTGTAGGCTGCACAGTCCAGGGTGTGTTTGAGACGCAGCCCACTACACACTCACTCCCTCTGTTGCCATGACTACAGCCCAGGGATGAGAAGGCCCTGGGAAGAGGCGCAGTGGCAACAGGCAGCCTCGCCCCAGGTTTGGCGTCCTCAGTGCCCAGGCAGCACTGCTCACAGAGCCTGAGGCTCAGCTGGCTCAGTTGGGGCCTGCGTCTGCACCCAGGACGTGGCCCTGTGACTGCTTACATGGGGCTGGAGGGAGAGTGGGGCACAAATCCTGACGTCTGGAAGCACTCACTGCTGCTTGCCCATGTTTCTCCTGCCCTCTGTCCTGCCACTGCTGCTGGCACTGTGGCCAGGCCTGTGCTGGAGCAGGCGCTCCTGAGGGAGGCTGCTGAGCTGCCTGGTGCCTGCCTGTCCACTGGAGCCCAGCGAGGGGGTCGCGGAGGAGAGCCGAGGGGGCCGTCTTCGGGCTCGTTGGTTTGCCAGGGTCTTCGTGCCACTGGAGGCTTTATCGTCGTGTTCTGTGTTCGAATGCTTCTGAGAAGTGTGCTCAGGTCCTCCAAGCCAGTCCTTCACCGAGAACGGCACTTTGTTCACCTGTCCCCACTAGTTCTCTTGAGGTGGGTCGTCTCCTGGAGCCCACACAGAGCCCAGTGAGGTTGGGCTTCCTGCTGATCAGTGCCATCCTTCCTGTCCGCGCAGGTGAGGCAGCAGAAGCCGTGACAGGGTGTGGAGGTGAGCCCCGTCTGCCTCTTGGGCACCTAGTCTCCTGATGGCTCGGTCCCGACTTGGGGTTCTCAGTCTGCAGTGAGCAGTGGTGGGTGGGCAGAGCCCCAAGCCCTCCAGGGCCTTCGCTACAGGGCGTGAAAGGAGAAGCGGCCCACACGACTTCCTAAGGAGACATGCTGATTCTGAGGGAGCTTTCTCAGCGGCTGTGTGGCCCCGGACGATCCTCAGGTTCCCGGGCAGGAACTTAGCAGTTGGATAGTCAAGCCCAGCACACTGCCGACGCGAGGCCCAAGCCCCTGTGGACTGCAGCGAGGGTGCTGGGAAGAGGAAGGCGGGGCGGTTGCCTTCAGGCTCTTCAGGAAAGCATGGGGGGCCTTGGAGATGGGCAGCTGAAGGAGGGGCTGCTGTGTCCAGGCCAGGGAGGTCTGAAGGGCTGGAGCAGCCCGGGCCTGGGGCTCTTGGATCAGCCAGAACCAACAGGAAGCCTGCTGGGCCCCTGTCCTTGCCGACAGAGAAGGAGAGAGGGTCCCAACGAAAATGGGAGCAGCCAATAGAGCCCCGCGGGTGGGCGCGCGTGTGGCCACCGAGCACGGGGTGCAGGCAGCTGAAGTCAAACTCACCACCTCCGCGGATCCTCGTGAGCCACAGAAGAATGCTAAGGGCAGCCCCCAAAAGATACCCTGGAAAGGACAACAGAAGAGCACACCCAGGAAGGTGAGGATCCCTGAGATGTGCCAAGATGCACAGCGCGTGGAAGAACCCCAGAACTGCAGAGCCCAGGATTCCTTATGAACAGTTGAGGTGACAGAGAGAGGACGTAAAATGGAAGAGAAATGAAGAGGGTCAGCAGTGACGCGTGTGGAGGCCAGGCACAGGGAAGGCTCACGCACCGCGAGGCAGCCCTGCGGAGTTTGTCGGGGCGAGAGAGTGAAGCAGGAGACCCCCAAGCAGGCCACGCAGCATGGACCCCACTGCCTGCCCCTTGTGGTGTTGCAGCAGAAGTAGCTCGTGATGTGACGTGAGTGGGTGAGCACCGCTGTCCAGCGCCCAGGGCAGAGGCAGAGGCAGAGGCGGGGTCCTCTGGTGAGCTGTGAGCCCAGGTGCCCGAGCGCCCTCCCAAGGAGTCTGATGGCAGAGCAGTGAGCCTCAGACGGCTGTGGGCGGTGAGCGGCCAGGCCTCAGCACTGCGCAGGTGAGGCTGTCCCCATGTCCGCCTGGTGGGTGGGCACAGTTGTGTGCGGGGCATGAGGACAGCAGATGCTGCGGGGTCCCTTAGGTGCATGGCCGAGTCACCGAGTCAAGGTTTCACGGGGAGAAGTGGGGTGCAAGTGTCAGATGTGAGAGGCTAAATTAAAACCTTGGAGTCCCAGATTTGAATGGCGGTTTCACTGTGAACTCCTGAGGACCTTTAAAAAAGGAGCAGTGAGTGTTTCCTGATATTGCTTGTGCAAGCCTTTTGCACCACAAGAGGCCAGGGCTCTGGGGACACTGGTGATATGGTCTGGGGCAGGGAGTGTGGAAGTAGGTGGTGCTACTGAAGGCCACGGGTCCTGTGGGCAGACGGCGTTTCAGCCAGCAGCAGGAGGAGCTTGCCAGCTGTCCACCTTCAACCCCAGTGGTGCTGGGGAGAGGGGACCTCAGACGACAGGGAGCCAGTGCTTTTTCCTGAAAACCTTGCCATTGAGGGACAGTGAGCTCTTGACCCGCCATCACCTCCTGAGACTGCACTGGGTGCTGAGGGGCAGGTATGGGGTCTGCAGGATTCAGTTCAGCTTCAACACAAAGGGCAAGGGAGGGCCCTTTTGTGCACCCCATTCAACCTGTGGTCCACTCTGTCGGCGTTACGTGGAGACACACAGGGAGATGCTGTGAGCCCTCTGGAAAAAGCAGGACGACGCCACGCTGTGCCTGAGTGAGCTGCCTGGCCGAGGCCCGGGAGGACCCTGTGGCCATCTTCAACAGGAACACTGCGAGGAAACACGGGCTGTCCTTTGGACCAGCCAGCTTAGAGTGACACACCGAAGCACAGTGCCTCGGAGTGCAGTCCTGGTGGCAGAGCTATGAAGAAGTACCAGGAGCTGATCCGCTTGGGCTTGGGAGGTGGGGGGGTCTCCCTGCGGGCGACGGAGATGCCTGGCCTGGTATGTCTTTATATTGAGCTCCTTTCCTCTGCATTTGGTTTTGGAGCTCTTTGTGCCTGCCATGTGTGCCACAGAAGGCTGACATCAGAACTGTGGCTGCTGGGCTCCACTTCGGGGGTCTTGAGGGGTGGGACACTGCCTGCTCTGTGCCAGGGCTGGAGGAGCTGAAGGACCCCTGAACTCCTTGTCCCCAAGCTGAGAACAGCGTTGGTCTGCTGTGGGGTTGAAGTGATCCATGGGCACATTCAGCAATAGGAAGGTGTCGGGACCCTGCCCTCCGCCCAGGGCCCTGCTCCAGCCTCAGTCGCCCTGGTTCCTGCTGGTTTTCATCGAGTACCTGTGTTCTGCACCACTCTCCTCCCGGGGATGTGTTGTGTTGTGTGCACTCACATGCGTGTGCTAGGGAACTGAACCCAGGACCTGGCACACACTGCTGCTGGGCTGCATCCCCAGCTTCTCCAGTCCTTTTAATTGACTGCGGGGATTCTGGGAACATGGTAGCCTCTTCCTCCTGAGATGGGGAGGCTGAAGGACCCAAGTGGCATTCTGCCTAATAGCCTGCCCTCCACCTGCAGCACCACGCGGGGCTGGCCTGGTGTGTGACGCAGTGCATGGTGGGACAAAGAGCCCACCTCCCGAGGGATGAGACGGTCCTCATCCGGCAATATGAAGCACTGTGTTGGAGGTAGCTGCTGGAACCAGCCTCTCCTCCAGCACCTCTGGCCACACTCCTGCACCTCAGCCTCCCGCAGTGCCCTGCTTGGCCTTCTCAGCTCTGCTCTGCATCACACGTTGTGTCCCATGCTCTTGACAACTTTGCAAACGAGGCAACTGTTGTTTTTATGGGAAAGCAGGTCTCCTACCCCTTGGCCCGGTCACTCTGCCTGGGACTAAGAGCTTCCGAGGTTTTTGTTTTTAATTCTCTTTTTAATGTACTTATAAGCTGTAATTTCTTTCTTGATTTGTGTTGACAACAAATTGGGGTTCATGCCATCTCTTCAGGGTTCCTCCCTGATGCTCACATCCTGCCTGGATTTTGTCCCCTGCCAATGTGACTCTAGTGTTCTTTGCCTTACAATATAGTAATTCTCAAACTCGAGGACACCAGAACCCCCTGGTGGGTGGACTGGAGTGAAGCCCAGGGGTCTGCATCTGCAGTTCCTGGTGGTCCTGGTGCTGCTGGCCAGGGACCCTGCTGGGAGAGTGAGGGCCTGTTGCAGGAGGTGGCTGAGCAGGCGGGCCGTGGCTGTCGGGGTGTGCCAGGCGTCAGCTTGTCCTGCCTGGGTTTCTCACTCGCAAAGACTCATGTTTCATAGCAGCCATCTTATGCGATCTGACATATAGAGGGCACAGAGCTCTGCCCTCGGAGGGTCTAGCTCTTCTCCCTGTGTTCACCAGTGACGTCTCACAGATGTATTTGAGCACTTTTGTGTTAGCAAGAGGGAACACAGTTCGGGTAGGTTGTGATTCCTGCTTTGAAGGAAATCAGGGTGCACCCCTTGAGGCCCTATAGCTCTGGCAGACCCCATGAGGAGAGCAGGTGTTGTGGATGTGGACAGCACCCACGTCTCAAGAACAGGACGGGCTGGGAGACAGGCGCCTGGGCGGGCATGGTGCACATGCGGGAAAGGCTTTGTCGGGGTGGGCTGGAGGTGGCGTCCTCCATCGTACAGGTCCAGGCTGCATCTGGGTGTGGCCCGACTCTGGCCCTCAGCCTCCCTGCCCCAGCTCAGGGCTCCGGGTTTCCCGTGTTCTCCCTGGAGGCCTTTCTTGGCCTCCTTCCTAAACATCCATTTATGTAGTTGGTGAATGGCCTCCTGGAGGTCCTTCTGCTCCCTAGGCATGGCTGCCACGGCCTGCAGGAGCGCACCTTGGGGAAGATGGGTGATGAACACTCGTGCAGATGCCCCCGAGAGGTCAGTGCCCTGGGCAGAGGACAGGCCGAGGGTGTGAAGAGCAGCAGACCCGACCCGCGCTCTGTGATGTGGGTGCTGTCCCCACTGTGGTAGGGTGTACTCCATAAAGGCAGTCAAGAAGCTGTCCCAGCCAGCACTCAGCCAGGGTTCCTGCATGGACAGCCCTCTGTGGAGCTGCTGCCTCTGACTCCCTCCCCACCTCTCTCTTGTCTTCCAGTGGACATACTCATCATGGATGATGACGACGTCCCCAGCTGGCCCCCGACCAAGCTCTCCCCGCCCCAGTCTGCACCCCCGGCCGGGCCCCCACCCAGGCCACGGCCGCCCGCCCCCTACATCTGCAACGAGTGCGGCAAGAGCTTCAGCCACTGGTCCAAGCTGACACGGCACCAGCGCACGCACACGGGCGAGCGGCCCAACGCCTGCAGCGACTGCGGCAAGACCTTCTCGCAGAGCTCGCACCTGGTGCAGCACCGGCGCATCCACACGGGCGAGAAGCCCTACGCCTGCTCCGAGTGTGGCAAGCGCTTCAGCTGGAGCTCCAACCTCATGCAGCACCAGCGCATCCACACCGGCGAGAAGCCCTATGCCTGCCCCGACTGCGGCCGCAGTTTCACGCAGAGCAAGAGCCTGGCCAAGCACCGGCGCTCGCATAGCGGCCTCAAGCCCTTTGTGTGTCCGCGCTGTGGCCGCGGTTTCAGCCAGCCAAAGAGCCTGGCGCGCCACCTGCGGCTGCACCCCGAGCTGTCGGGGCCTGGTGTGGCCGCCAAGGTGTTGGCAGCCAGTGTGCGCCGCGCTAAGGCGCCGGAGGAGGCAGCGGCGGCAGACGGCGAGATCGCCATCCCGGTGGGCGACGGCGAGGGCATCATCGTGGTGGGCGCGCCTGGCGAGAGCGCCGCGGCTGCCGCAGCTATGGCCGGCGCAGGGGCACGGGCGTCCGGGCCGAGGTCACGGCGCGCCCCGGCTCCCAAGCCTTATGTGTGCATGGAGTGCGGGAAGGGCTTCGGGCATGGGGCTGGGCTTCTGGCCCACCAGCGGGCTCAGCACGGGGACGGGCTGGGGGCGGCGGGCGGCGAGGAGCCTGCGCACATCTGTGTGGAGTGTGGCGAGGGCTTCGTGCAGGGCGCTGCGCTCCGCAGACACAAGAAGATCCACGCTGTGGGCGCGCCCTCGGTCTGCAGCAGCTGCGGACAGAGCTTCTACCGGGCTGGCGGGGAGGATGAGGACGAGGACGCAGCCTCCGGCGGGCGCTGCACCGAGTGTCGTGGCACAGAGGGCCGGTAGGGGCGGGGGCGCCCGGGGGGGAGCAGGGCCCCTCGGGCTTGGCGGGGACGACAAGACCTGGAGGCCAGGGAGAAATGGACAGAGGGGTGCGACCGGTGGCATCCTCGTCTCCTGCCCCTGCTACTCGGCCTGCGCTGTCTTGGTGCGAGAGGACCTGTGGGCATTAGGGCAAGATGGTTTCTCAAGGTGCCCGCTGGCTCTCCCAACCCTGCCCTTTCTAGGTTCTCCGCCAGAGCTAGACAATGTGAGAACTGTAGAGGTCAAGAGGCCAGACCCTCACGCAAGAGGCTGCCCCTCTCTTCCCACACTGTCTGGGATGTTGTAAGGGATGGAGGGAAGTCTGGCCTTTTGTATTTAGAGGGTCCCAGAAAGGCGAGGGGAGAGGGGCCCTTTGCCCTCTTAGAATTTTCTTTTAATCATACCCCTTACCCCCTCCCATCCACTATTTTTTCTGCCCTTCGAGTCCTATTGATTTTATAGCCCAGGTTTTCCTCCTGCTCCTGGGTGTGGGGTAGCAGAGGAGTGAAGCAGAAGGAGACCCTACACCCAGGGTAGCCCCCTTCAGAGGATGGGGTGCGCTGTCTGTTCTCTGGCGTGGGCAGGTGGAAGAAGGGGTGTGAGGGCAATAAATCACACTATTCGATTGTCCCCGTAGCCGTGTGGTTCTTGGATTTGGGAGGAAGAAGGGCAAGAGGCTGAAGGGCTCTGGCAACCCCAGGTGTAGCAGTGGACGCCAGCCCGGTCAGTGAACAGCCCCGCCTGTGCCGGTGCTCCTGCTGGGTGCTGCTCAGGAGCCATGGATTCCCTGCCACTGGCTGGAGGAAGGCGCTGCGCTGTGCCGCAGGGGGCAGTTCTCCAATCCCGGAGTCCTGCCTTCCTCCCTGGAGACAGCACACACCTCTCCTGCCCAGATGCCTCCAGCCAGTTGGTCACATGGGCACTTCTTGCAAAGGTAGCTGTGCTGGGAGGGCTAATTCCCAGTGACAAACTAGGGCACTGAAGGTGGGAGATGCATTTGGGGGCAGGACCTAGGTATCACTGAGTGCTGTGGCTGTGTCCAGCACTGAGCTGCAGTGTCTGCCGCCTGGTCCCTGAGGACCGCTGTAGCGTCCTGTCAGAAGGGTCCTCTGATGCCAATTCCAGTTACCTGGGTCACAGCCCCAGGGCAGAGACCCCTGTCCCTGGGGCCTTGAGGGGGGTGCGGTGACGCCCCACCAGTGGGTGTTTCCAAGCTGGCGGGCAGCCTTTGAATGCAGGAGGTGCTTGGAGGGGTGGGCCGCAGGCTCCCTCCCCTGCACTGCAGGAGGCGGGGAGGGGCTTGTGCTTGAGTGAGCAGGTGCTGGGGGCTGGTGCTGCCTCCCAGCTCCTTGGAAGCTTAGGTCACTGAAGGAGGGGGTGGTTTGCTGGGAGTCGTGGGGATCATGAAGACTGGGCTTCGTGCCCTTAATGTCCCTCTGCTGAGCACTGACCTTGTGCTTCTGGAGGTGGGGGAAGGAGTGGGAGGTAAGCAGTGGGTTCTGGTGCCCGCTCAGTGTGGTAAGTTTGGCCCCTTCCCCAGGAGCTGACGCCGAGATTGAGAAAGATTCAGGGCCAGTCTCCACCCTGCCTCTTACCAGGCTGTTGGCTCTGGGCAAAACCTTGAGCCTCAGTTTCCTCCTCTGTGAAAGGAAAAGATTGCCTATCTTACTGGCAATCCTTTGGGAAGGGATCCAAGCCCAGCACTTGGTCCCAGAGCATGTGCCTCCCAGACAGGGGTAGAACCAAGTGGCAAGTCTCAAATCCTCTGGGCCTACATTACTTTCCCTAATGCAGGGATCCATTTAGTAGTAGTTGTGTTAGTGAGCTGATATGTCCATGGGCTTAGACAAGTGTCCTTGGCACTGGACCTGGCCCTCCTGTCTCAGAAGGAGGGGGTGCCTCCCTTCCCAGGCACTCACCACAGGTTGGCACTGCAACTGCTCTCACAGTGTGTGGGCGGGCAAGCTGAGGGCATGCCAGGTTGGGCCACCTTTCCAATCTCACGAAGCCCTAGCTGCGGTGGCAGCAGAGATAACTCCTGCCACCGTGTTTTTTGACTTCACACCCATCACTCAAGCCATCCGCTCTGGGCTGCAGTTTATAGGGCTATGCAACCTCCACTGCACCCCCGCCCTGAGCCCACCACCACCCTCCTGGATGGAGGAGGCCACATACTGCTCCGTGTTTACTGAGCACATGCTGTTTGCCACGGGCTTTTTGGGGAACAGTGTGACCTTGGTGGTCACAATGTCTGCCCTTGTGGAGCGCATCTTCTAGGCCCAGGGGAGACAGCTGCCAAGAATTGAGGATGAAGAGGCGGACGGGAGGTAGGACGTGGAGGAGGGCCCTGGTGGGGCAGGAGCAACGGGCAGTTTCCTGGAGGGGTGCTTTCTGGGTGTGAGAGCAGGGGTCCTCCCTGGACTTCCTGCTCTGAACAGTGCCAGAGTTGTGTATTCCCTATAGCCCTGTTTTCAGGGTGTCCTGGAGAGTGCAGGTTCCAGGCCACACTAATGGGAAGTGCTGGGTTGGTCCCTAGCCTGGACACAGTGCCCACCTGGCACATGGCAGATAATGGAGATTTGGTGGTCTGGATGATCTGTAGAGAGGCATCCCACCCAAAGCTTTTGGGATTCTGCACTCCAGGGTGGGCACAGGTGTGGAGGGTGGGCAAGCCGTGTTCTGAACTTGTTCTGTCATGAAACCTCCAGTTACAGAGCATCTTGGGCTGGTGTGGTCAGGACACTTTGTGTGCATGTCGGGGGTGTGTATATCTGTGCATGTATTTGTGTGTCTTATGTGTGCATTCATATGTGTCTTAGTACACACGTCTCATACATCTTTGTGCATATATGTGCAGTGTGTGTTTTGTGGTCGCGGTGTGCATCTACTCATCCACCCATCCCAAGGAGGTCGTGGGTGGGGAGGTGTTGTCTCTGACCCCACTCATTTCACCTCTCCTGCCTTGATGGACAGCTCTACCCAGGAGGCCCCCAGCAGGTCCCCAGCGGTGGTGCCTCTGGGTCAGGTCCTTCAGTACTGTGGACAGAGCCCCACCCTGGGTCTCAGGGGCAGTTCACAGGCCTCCTTTGAAGCCTCGTGGGGTCTCCGGCTGCAGGAGGGCGTGCCCCATTTTACAGACAAGGACTCAGAGGGGCAGGAGGTGGGGCCCAGTCTCCCCAGCTCTCCCATCAAGCAAGCAGCAGGGCCCAGCAGCCACGTGCAGCACCCACTCACTGCCTGGCTCTGGGATGCTGTGCACTGGGGGTGGCCGCCAGTGGGCAGGCCGGCTGGCCATTCGGGCTGTGGTTCTGTACCAGGAGGGCTTGGGTCAAGAACTGATATGTTTAATCACAAGGTTTTTTTGTTTTTAAAGAATTATACTTGGAAGAAAATGTTATTTACAAAATCTCACAGGGCTGGGGTTGTGACTCGGCAGTGGAGCGCTTGCCTAGCACATGTGAGGTCCTGGGTTCCATCCTCAGCACCACACAAAAATAAATAAATAAAATAAAGGTATCCTGTCCAACTACAACTAAAAAAATAAATATTAAAAAAAAAATCTTATTCCAGCTCCCACATGCCTCATTCCTCTCTCCATTCTCCTTGATGAAAACACGATCAAGTGGGAGCACACCCCATCTACTTCTGCCATTGCCCATCTGTCGCAGTCATCTGTGTGCCTCTGTGGTCTGTGTGCCTGTTTATCAATATCTCGTCATCTGTGTGTCTGTCATCCACCTAGTCTTCCTTGACTGCTGTCTGTGTGTCTGTGAACTAGCTGCACACCTATGGTTGCTCCAGAGTGGCCCGTGGCATCTCATGGGTGGACTTGACCTCTGTGTGGCTAATTCCCGGCTGATGCACTGAGCTCCTCTATAGTCATCTGCTGCTATAACAAAGCCACAACTAGATTGTGCCCTGTCTTGGCACGTGGGGCCTGCAGGAGGAAGGAGCTCGCTCCCGAGATGTTAGACTGACAAGTTGCCTGCCAGCAGAGCAGCCTCTGCAGGGACTGCCTCCGCCTGCCCTCCCAGTGGGGGCTTTGGTGTGGCAGACACTGGAGAGACTGCGGGAGGGAGGCGAGGGTTTAATGAGCACTGTCTACAAGCTGGTTCTTCACCTGCCTGGCCTAGCCCTGCGCTTAGAGGGGAAGGCCCAGGGAGGCGGAGCTCTGCCCCGCTGCAGAGCAGCAGGATCCTTTTCCTAGCAGGGAGTGGGCGGGCCAGGGAGTGTGGGCCCGCAGTGGAGTGTTATTCAGCCCTGAAGAGGAGGAAGGCAGTGGTGCATGACAACGGATCTAAACAGCTTTCCCCACCCGTGGCAGGATGGCAAAGCTGCCCATGTCTTGCCACGTGGATCATGTGGAAACCAGCTCCGCTGAGGTGAGAGCCCTTGGAGTGTCAGGGCCATCTGCCTGGGAGGGGCCAGCTGCTCTCAGCCTGGGGAGATGGAGCCCCCCCAGGAACATCTGTGTGAACCTGTCTGGTTGCCGCAGCTGGAGGGTGGGTGTCCCAGCGTTAGCACATCCTACGGTGCACAGGTCACGCCACAGCACAGAGCTGGGTGCCCCCCAGGCTGGAGGCCGGCTCCTCCTTCTCTCCGCCCACCCGTGCTCCAGCAGTCCTGCGCTACAGGGTGAGCTGGACCCAGGCGCTTGCCGCAGGACCACACCATGGGACAATGGACACTTCTCTCGGGGACCAGTTTACAGCCTGTGGCTGAAGGCATCAGGTGACTGGGCTTCACACACACTTCACCCAGCTTCAGGCTGGTAGAGGAGGAAAGGGTCCCAGAGGAGGCCAGGCCTGTGCAGAAGGCAGCACCCCACTGGGCCCCACCCACAGTGGGAGGCGGCTGGAGGCCATGCAGGGGACTCACCCGTCACCCTCTGGGGGGGGTTCCCGTCCTCCTGCTGCTCCTTCCCAGGCCACGAATTTAAGAATAGGGAAGGGACAATTGGGGCCTGGGCAGTGACTCGTCTGGGTACAGACACCCACTCCTGGACGTCCTCCAAGAGCCCCGTGTCTTTCTAGAAGTCAGTTTTGGCCCCCAGGTACCCCTAGGCAGCCAGGCTCCCCGCCCTCTTGCTGGAGCCCTGCTCATCTCGGCAGAGAGCGGGAAGTAGTGGAGCACTGAGACCTCGGCCCTGGTTGCCAGGTGTCTGCTGCGGTCCTCTCCAGGCCTTTGTCTGAACACCTGGACAGTGCACCCAGTTCCACGAGCAAGCTCCACCGACCCACAAAGACACAGCCGCACTCCGCCCCTTGCACCTCGGCTGCTCTATTGGTGCATCAGCCAGTGTTCTCCAGAGAGCAGAACCAGTCGTGTTTATATGCACGAGGTAGGTGCACGTCTTCCTACTTCCTACAGACGTGGGAGTTCAGCAGGTAGTTGGTCAGGTGACCTCAGTGGTTGGGAAGTCCCACCATGCTGTTGGTGTGCTGGAGGCCAGAGATGATGCTAGCTAAGACTCGGTCCTGAAGCCAGGACCTCAGACCCTGGGAGGATGAGGGTGCAGAGGTCCAGGAGCCTCTGAAGCCCCTTCTGAGGCTGGTGGCTTAGGAGCCTCCAAGGCTGACGCCCCATCTGAGGCTGAGACCGCTTCTGAGGTCGGAGGCCCAGGTGGCTCT